TTCTTACGATTCAACAGTGAGTAATTGTTACCATGACTAATTGCAACTGTCACAACTGTAAAGGCAGAAGTTTTGTAACTAAAGGGCGGCGGGGGGCGGGGGTGTGGAGTAGTCAATCTTACAGTCCAGAAACAGCAGACTCTTGGACCATCAAGGGAGAAGATCATGCGTGAAATGTGGAACCCTATGCAGAGAGGCAGTGATACCAGAGATGGAGGCAGAGATGAGAACATGGAGAGAGGGAGCAGCTGAGGACTCTAGACTCATGGAAGGAGAAAGACTGAACGCTGGCAGCCAGGAGGCAGGCTCACAGAATGTGTCCTTTGGTTGTTTAAATTATTATATATTTCTGAGTGTTTTTGTGTATATCCCCCCACCAAAAAAAAACCAACATAGGGGATGGAATCAAATACTATTGAATGATGTACGCACGGAGAAGATTGTAATCATTGCAATGAAATGATGAGTGTAAAACCGATGTTCTCCCATGTAAACTGTCACTTAAGTCACAATAAAAACACAAGAAAAAAGAAAAATGAGGCATTGATAATCACTGGCGATTGGAATGCAAAGGTTGCAAACAAAAAGGATCAGTAGTTAGAAAAAAAGGCCTTGGTGCTAGAAATGATGCTGGAGATTGTATGATAGAATTCTGTAAGCCAATGATTTGTTCATTTCAACTCTCTTTTTAAACAGCATTAAAAGATGACTACATGGACCTCACCAGAGGCTATACATAGAAATCAAATTGACTACATCTGTGTAAAGAGATGGTGGAAAAGCTCCATACCATCAGCCAAAACAAAGCCAGGGGCAGATTGTGAAACAGACCATCAATTCTCATTAGCAAATTCAGACTGAAGCTGAAGAAAATGAGAGTTACAATACCCAAGTAATCAAGAAATAAAATGATGTATTGCGTTAGGAAAAGATTTGCACAAGATCTTTTTAAAGTGTTGAAGGTCAAAATGTCAGTTTGAGGACTAAGGTGTGCCTGACTCAAGCCACAATATTTTCAATAACCTCATATGTATGAGAATGTTGGACAGTGAATAAGGAAGACCGTAGAAGAATTCATGCATTTGAGTTATGAAGTTGGAGAATATTGAAAGTACTATGGACTACCAAAATAACAAATAGATCTGTGTCGCATGCAGTACAGCCAGAGTGTTTCTTAGAAGCCAGGATGGCCAAACTTCGACTCTCATATTTTGGACATATTATCAGGAGGGATCAGTTACTAGAGTAGGATATTATGATTGGTAAGATGGAGGGACAGAGAAAAAGAGAAAGACCCTTAGAGAGATGGCTTGGCAAAATGGCAGCATCAGTGGGCTCAAGCATAGCAACAATTGTGAGGTTGGCCCAGGACTGGGCAGTGTTTCATTCTGCTGTACATAGGGTTGCTATGAGTTGGTACCAACTCGATAGCACCTAACAACAACAACAACAACAACAACAACAACAACAACAACAACAACGTGAATAACACTAGAATATTGTCAGCTATAGTGCCAGAAGATGAGCCTCTCAGGTTTGAAGGCACTCAAATTCAATTGGAGAAGAGTTACCACCTTGATGTAGAGATGAATGTGATGACATTAATGAAGGAAAGATTTGAGGACCTTCATTAGCTGATGGGGCAGTTAATATTCCACTGCTGTTCATAAGGTTTTCAGTAGCGAATCCCTCAGAAAGTCCCACAGCTCTTTCTGTCTTTTGGAGTTATTAGATTCAGAGACTCCCCACCTTGCTGAAGGAGGACATTAACTATATGCAGATACACCTTCATTTCTTCTATCCCCTCTCCCCTATGTTGACTTTCTGCACCACTTCCTTCTGAAAGTTCTCCAGCCTGCTATGGGGAGCCACACTCTATATTCAGCTATCAATACATGGGCCATAAAAAAAAAATTTTTTTTTTAAATGTGCTCATCTGTTTTTCTTGATCAGTCTTGCATTCCCTCATATTCATTATGTTGTTGTTAAGTTCCATTGAGTCATCAAACTTACTATAGAATTTTCCTTTTCTTCCCCCTCATAATAAACATAATGTCACAGGCATATACTTGCTACCATTTTAGATATGAGGGAACCAAGTTATATAGTAACTTGCCTAACTTTCTGTGGTAAAATATTTCATAAACAGAATTCTGAGCTATGTCTGTTGTTAGGTGCCATTGAGTCAGTACCAACTCATAGTGACCCTATGCATAAAAGAACGAAACACTGCCTGATCCTGGACCAACCTCACAATTGTTGCCGTGCTTGAGCTCATTGATGCTGCCACTTTGTCAGTCCATCTCGCTGGGGGTCTTCCTCTTTTTCTCTGACCCTCCACCCTACCAAACATGATATCCTTCTCCAACCACTGGTCTCTCCTGACAATATGTCCAAAGTATGAAAGACGAAGTTTGGCCATCCTGGCCTCCAAGGAGCGCTCTGGCTGCATTTTTTAACACAGATCTGTTGGTTCTTTTGGCAGCCCATGGCATTTTCAATATTTTCCTCCAACACCATAACTCAAAAGCATCAATTTTTCTATAGTTCCTTATTCACTGTCCAGCTTTCGTATGCATATGAGGTTATTGAAAATACCATGGCTTGGCTCAGGTGCACCTTAGTCCTCAAACTGACATGTTTGCTCTTCAACACTTTAAAAAGATCTTGTGCATCAGATCTGCCTAATCATGAGTGTTGATAGTTGATCCAAGAAGAATGAAGTCTTAGACAATTTCAATATTTTCTCTGTTTATAAGAATGCTGTCTATTGGTCCAGTGGTGAGGATTTTTGTTTTTTAACATCGAGATGCAATACATAATGAAGGCTGTGCTCTCTGATATTCATCAGTAAATATTTTAAGTACTCTTTACTTTCAGCAAGCAAGGTTGTATCATCTGCATAGCACAGATTGTTAATGAGCCTTCCTCCAATCCTGATGCCATATTTTTCTTCATAGAACCCAGCTATTAAGATTATTTTCTCGGCATACAGGTTGAATAAGTATGGTGAGAGAATACAATCTTGTCGCACACCTTTCTTAATTTTAAACCATTCAGTGTTCCCATGTTCTATGTGAACAACTGCCTCTTGGTACAGGTACAGATTCCTCATGAGCACTTTTAAGTGTTCAGGAATACTTCTCAGTATCCATATATTTTATCATTATATTGGGTAACAGATAACTAATGAAATTATCTTGTATATATTGTTGTTGTTATTAAGTGCCATTGTGTTGGTTACAACTTATAGTGACCCTGCATAAGGTTTCTGAGGAGCTGCTGGTGGATTTGAACTGCTGACCTTGTGGTTCAAAGTCTAGTGATGCTCCAACAGCACCACACCAGGAGTATGTATCTATATTGTTATTGTTGTTCTTATGTGCCGTGTGTTAGTTCTGACTCATAGCGACCCTGTACAGGGTTTCCGAGGCTGTAAATCTATATATATGTTAGGAAAGATATAATGCCATATAGCTTAGCTTTCCTTTTTCAGAATTTTGTAACATATACATACATAACATAACATACTATAAGCATACATATTAGAGAAGTTTAACAGTTCTTAAATTTATTTGACAATAAAAACCAATTTAAAAAAACGGACGTGTATTAACACATTTTAAACAATGCAGATAAGTAGAAATGAGAATTTAAAAATATTTAAGTTTTTGCTTTTTTACCATTTTTCTTTCTTTCCAAGGGCAAAATACATTTTAAGAGCTGGAATATTTCAGAATTCATGACCTGAAATTATTGCTTTTAATTTTGGAAGTTCTGAATTATCAGCTCTGTTTTTAAAATATTAAAGCTATTGAATATTGAAGATGTTTGATTCTGTAATTTCCAATATGAAATGCTGTTCTGGTTAGGATGTTTAATTGTCATTTTCTAATCAGTTCTATTATTTGAACAATCTCTTCAAAGTACCAGTGATAATACTTACATAAATCACTATGAGAAGGTAAATTCCATTCAGTGGTCAGGAGACATAGATCTTATTCATAATATAGCAGTCCCCTCTAGTGCTCACTTCTGGTCATGGGCTCACCTCCTAAAGTGCCCTCAAGGACTGAATGCCACATATCAGATCATTTTGCTCATTCTCAGCTTTCAGTCAAATGCTCTATTATTCATAACATCACCTTTTTGAAATGGAATTTAGGCATTTTCCATATTATTCAAAAATATTACTTACTCCCCTGTGCAATAGGGGAAAATGATGATTGTAGCCATTTTTCCCATAAAAGTAAATGAAATAATTGAGAACCAAGAACTGAGAAGTTAGTAACATTTCTTACAATGGAAAAGAAAGTAGAATTTAAGTCTTTTATCATAAGGTTCAGTTCTGTGCCATATGCATTGAACTATGTATTTGATCCAAGAAAGTCTGTGATGCTATTAACTCGTATGTTGACAATTCTAATTTTTTTTTTTTTTACTTTGTATGCATTTTTAGAACAATAAAACTCAACTTTTTGAGAATATTTGGATTACTAGTTTTCAAAACAGCACACTGTTGTCAGCCAAGACATTGCAAAGGGAGTTTGATTTTCCATATTTAAACATTTTTTGCTCAGAAGCAAAAGATTCTCTAGCTAAATTACTCCTGGACTTAAGGACCTAGTTTGCTATATATTTCTTTCAGATTCATTTTCAAAACATTATCTTTAATATGTAGATCATAACTCTTTATGACTATAAGGTCTTTCCCACTTATTGTTATTGCAATTGTTGAAGACTTGACTTAATGAAGTGTCTGCACCAAAAGTGGAGTCCAGGTGTGGTGCTGTACAATAAGCACTGGCACCAGCCACTCCTTGGAAACCCTATGCAGGGTCACTGTGCATCAGAATTGACTCAGTGACACTTACCACCACCATCACCACAAAATGGATTCTAAGTGTGAGAATATTACTAATTTCTGCATATGCTTCTGAATAAAGATCTGAAATGACTTTAATTTGCTATTAATAAATGTTTCTGGTATTCACATTTAGTTGTTACAGGGTAGGTCAACACACAAACCTGACAAGTGGGAACTTCTTCAGCTGGGCAGCGGTGGTGGCATGGTTGAACAAGTCAGTGGGGACTGTGATGACGAAGATGGCTGTGGGGGATCAGGAAGTGGAGAAGTCAAGAGGACACTCAAAATCACCGACTGTAAGTGTACAATTCTAATACTACTATTAAAGAGTTATTATAAAATATAAATAAGAATTATTATCATAATTTTAATGACAATGAATTCAGATGTGGGTAAGAGGAATTGGAAATGACAATGGACTTACTTTTAGATACTCAAGATGTGCATTCATGTGGTTTTTGTTTATTTTTAGGTAATGGCTTTAAATGAAAATGTCACTTCGCACTGTGAAAAATTGTGAGACATTCAGTTCTGAGAGAATGGTTTGTGAATGATAATTGTTTTTAAAAGGGTTAATTCTTAGGGCATGAGACTAAAAAGTACAAATGAATATTAAATATGTATTGATAAATAATGTTAATTCCAGATGAACAAACCCTACAAAATAATCAGTTTTGCATTTTCAGATATTATCATGCCGTTATGTAAATGCGATTTTACTTTATAAAAGCTTTTCAGTCAAATGAAGAAGCAGTTGGTTAAATACGTGGTTAATTATGGTGAAAAGCCATGCTTGAATTTGTGTCTTAAGAATCTGCTTTTCTAAAAATGTTCACCTGCCATTCATATCAGTTTGATTGTATATTTTGGGGGAAAATTATCTGGCAATGCTTACCTAATCACTACTATAAAAAAAACAGAAAAGGTCAAAGAAGAAGAAATCATTGAATGCATTTTGTCTACTTGTATTCACATATAAGATGAGGAATATAGGTGTTCCAACCTCCACTGTCATGTGCATGTATTCATTCACATGGGAAATAGAACAAAAGCTGTCAAGGGAGAATGAAGTGCCAGGATTAGCAATGTACTCAGAGCATCGGACTTTAAACTCATTTACCTCACATTGCTCGAAGAGTGAAGTAATCTTCGGGAACCTACCGTGTACCTATAACTAGAGGGCTCTGATAGTCTTCATCCAAATCACACAGGGTTCCTTTGGAGCTATTTGGTGTGCCCATTTCTGAGGTTAGTGGAAGAATGATCAGTTTTCTTGTAGTTAATGAAGAACACTACAACTTGATGTTTCAAACCCCATTTTTTCTAGTATCAATTTGTTAAGCCAAATGTATTAAAAGAATGGAAGCCAAAAGAGATGAGAAATTAACATAATAATTTTCCTTTTAGATACAACAATAATTTTTATTTGACCTAAAAAGTAAATAGATGGGAATTTATTTCTGGAGCAGCAACTGAACAAAGGACCACAGAAATCATTGAAATAATAAAACAATCTTGTAGTGCAGATTAAATATCTTTTCATTTTGTAGGAGATGAAAATACATACTTCTGTTATTGGTATTAATTTAGCTTATCAGATTGTGGGTTTTTTTCCCCTTGGTTTATGGAAAATAATAAAAAAAGAAGAAAAATTAAATTTCACTGGAATAATTTGTTGGTTTTTTAACAGTTAAATTGTCTTCTGTTGCATTTAGGAACTGTGATACTTATCTGTTCTGATAATGTTGAATTACTCTAATCTTAAATCTGGAGTATTTATATATACCACAATTTGATTGTTATTTGATTATTATCATGGTTTATGGCATAAAATTATTAACTCTAAGTCTGGATCATCAATAGCAATAGTACACAAAAATAACAGGTGGACATTTAATCTATCAAATAGAATATGTGTGTATATGTGTTCATGTGTACGTAGGCTTATCATATTATAAAGATTTGTTTCACTCACTGATGTTATTTATAAGCTCATGAACTTCTTATGTATTTTAAAAGAAAATTTTTTTGGTTTGCTTCACTAGAGAAGCTATTGAGGATATTTAGCCACTAATAGTTTTCTCACAAAACCATATTTGGGAAAGTAGTAAGAATGAATTTTTACCTCAAAATCCTGTTTTCAATTACTTCTGAAATAGACAGGTATGGTACAGGTAACTATCAATCAGAATTGAGGAGATTTCAGTTACAGATGGTTTTCAGAAACTCCAGGCAAACAATGAAAAAAAAAAAATCCACATCTGCTATAAGTGGGTTTCCTATTATGTTTCTAACAGTTTATAGCTGTTGCTTTTCAATTTTTAATAATCGGTAAGGAAACCACTGGGGACAGCATGCTGCAATAAAGGATAAGAAAAGGAGCAAAGGGTAGCCGACATTCTATTTCTGTACAGCGCTACAGTGTTGTCGCTGTGTTTGGCTAGTTTGGGATGTTGGAAAAGCAACCTAAGTTTTCACTCTCAATGGTCATAATGGCTTGAAAATATAATGTTCTAGAAAGGTTGTCAGGATGTCATTTGTGTTAAGAACTTGAGAATTACTATTATTCCTTCCTTCCACCAATGTTTATTCCTTATGAAATGCAATAGAAATAGCATGTAGTTCATTTATCACCACAAACATGTCTAATTAGAAAGATATATATATATATATTCATATTATGTATATATATATAATATACATATATGTATACATACAGAGATACATATATTAATACCAACATATTTTATTCACAAATGTGATTCTAATATGATTTAATAATTCTGCTCTATTTAAGTAAATGTGCAAAATTGATCAATATCTTGCTGATGATTAGTAAAACTGGTTTTCTGTTTCTGTTCAAGTTTATTTCAAGCAACCAAGAGGTCTGTTTACTTCAATGCACAGAGTTTTACCATAAAAATAATGAAGAATGTCTTAGGCATTTTGTTTTTTTGTTTTTCACCGACAGTGTCAAACAACTCAAGTTTTAGCTATTTAAAAATATATACCTGTATCAAATTTGTAAACAATTATTAAATGTGAATTGATTCCTTGTAAAATCTAGCCATGTTAGTATTCATTCTTAGAAACTGAAAAAAATTTTCAGTAGGTGGCTTCGAAATTTCGATATTATACAATTTATTCTGTATTTTTGGTTTATTCCATTTGGTTCATTTACATAGATCTAGATGTCTCTTGAGTAACCTGAAAATTCAGGATTACAGGTGCTCTGGATCTTTGCTTTGCGCAACTCACCCCCCACATGACACCTTTCCAAGTAGCCAAACAATGCCAAACGCCAGTAGCTGAAACAAGCTCTGTTATTTTGAATGTGCAAAGGAAATCGAAACCCACTACCACCAATAGTTTTCAGGCAACTTGACTATTCTTTTGTTCCCAATTTTTGATAGTTTCAAATGGGGAAAAACCAACCAGAGTGCTTGCTATGGAAGAGAGGCAGTGGCAGAACTATTCCTCAGATCATTCTGAAAATCTGCAATGGCATTGCTGGCAATTCTTATGTTGCATTATCATTTTTTTTTTTTTTTTTTGCACAATGACTAGCACACTCTGTTTAAAATTAACGAATATGTACCCAGTAATCAAATTCACTTTGATAACATGCTCCAAAGTAATTATCTCAGGCAAAATGAATTTGATCATAAATTGCTTATGCCAGACATTCCACAAATAGTAAGGTGATTTTAAGTCCTCAAATGACTTGGGATAATTAAGATTTGCCTATTATCATATACATCATTGCTCATAAATATTATGTAGCATGTTTAAGCATGCTGTGATGGATAGAATTATGTCCCCCGCTATTGTTGTTGTTACTGTTGTGCCGTGGAGTCGGTTCCGACTCATAGTGTTCCTGTACAGGGTTTCCGAGGCTTTAAATCTTTACGGGAGCAGAATGTCTCATCTTTCTCCCGAGGAACAGCTGGTAGTTTCAAACTGCTGACCTTGCGGTTTGCAGCCCGATTCATAACCACTACTCTACCAGAGCTCCTTCACTGTATGTGTTGTAATTCCTGATCTCTATGCTTGTGGTTATAAATCCCAACTGAGAGTAGGTTGTCTTTGTTATATTCAAGAGACAGGGTAAATTTAGGGTGTAGCTTCAGTCAATCTTTTTTTAAGATATAAAAAGAAATTAAACAAGCAAGCAAAGAGACAGAGAGAGATGGGTAATATAGACGCCAAGACACATGGAGATCTCCAAGGAACCAGAAAGCAAAAGCTGAGGAGATAGGATCTTCCTCCATTGTTGGCAGAATGGGAAAGCTTCCCTTCCAGACAACATTCTCAGTTTGGACTGCTAGCCTCCTAAACTGTGGAGGAGGAAAATTCTGTTTGTCAAAACCATCAATTTGTGGTATTCTGTTATAGCAGTGCAAACACTTCCTGATCACATTCAATGTTCACAATTGTTAACAATTTGAAATAGTCATCTAGTGCAGTTTTTACAGTACTATTGAGAATCATACTAAAAAGAAATGAAATATATATCTAAGACAAATATATTTTTATTAATATGGGATCACTATGAATATTATTCTGATTACACATTTCCATTTTATTTGCTAAATAATTGAGATTACCTTGTTCACTTGCTATTTTTAATGGGGTCTGGATACCTAATGAAGCATCTAAAATCATCTTTTATTCTTTTGAAAAATTCTGTATCACTTTTATGGATTTAAATAATGGAAGTGAAATAAAAGAGTTTGTCCTTGAATGTCTAAACTCTTATTTTCATTGCTTTGGTGTAGATACAGAACGGGTGATAAATCACTGGGGTGAAAAAGGAGACTTATTAATTAAAACTGAAACAAGCCTCCTACCATGTATTCTAGATCAGCTAGCTATTTTGTTTTCTGTATTATCTCATAACTAAACGTATATTGGCTAAGAGGACATAAAATAAAGAAGTTATAATTTTTTATTTTCTTTAGCTTCTTATTGTGGTTTTGTTGAAAGTATACAGAGCGAATTTGTTTTCCCTTCAGCAGTTTATGCACATTTATTTTGTTTTGTGATGTTGGTAAGGATCCCCTCAGTGTAATTGTATTTGTTTCACCTCTTCCCTGGGTTCCCCATTTCTGTTGTCCTTCATTACTGCCCTCTCCTGACTTCTGATCTCTGGTTAGGGACAAATGCTGCCCTTTGGCTATTGTACAGGCGATTGTACTGAGGCCTCTGCTCCTTCCTGGTATTGTTTGTTTTAAAGGTTTATCTGTTGTATGACTGAAAGGTGATCCCTCAGATGGGTTCAATTCCAGGACTGAAG